ATACTTGTCTAGCAAGGACAAAAAATCCCCCCAGTACCACGCATGGTCACCAATAACTCAATGTGCATCGGCTTTTTACTCCAAAAGAGCGAATGCGATGAAGCTGGTTCGAACGACACGGCAGAGGGTGTCCCGCGGTGTCGAGAGGTCCACCGGCTTGCGACACACGAGCATCAGCACCACATACGATGCCAGATCATTCTCCAGGACAATGTTGACGATAATTCGGAAAAGCATCTATGTGTTCAATTCATCAGGGTACCTCTCAACCTCAAACTCAGCAACCGCACTCCCCAGCACAACGGTGAAATCCAAGAAACGAATAAGGCCTGGGTGCTTTTTCACCACACGGTGGAAAAAAAACGACAAAAAGCACCCCTCATTTCATCGCCGAGACAGAAGTATCCCGAGACCCCGATTGTACACAAGCCGCCACAGAACAAACTGGAAGTAGCAAGAAAACTTTTGGCGTTATCTCCAGGTAATAAAACCACCACGTCGAAGCCGTCAGCACTGCAAGGGTAATCCACAGAAGTGACGCAGAGCTGTCCCATCATTGTATTTGAGCCAAAGAACTCATAACAGCACACACATCTTCTTGATTAAAACATGGTCTCTTCAATGCCACACACACACACACACACACACACGGAAAGGAAACCCCATTTATTATCTACAACTCCGAAGGCACCAGATCAAGCGGAACCCCCGTGATGCGAAGCGTCCCCCACCCTTCTTCACTGGGCATTCCTCTTAAAGGCACGTGACCATCCCCATAAAAAGAAACTCATTCTTTCTGGAAGCAAGCATAAACTCCAACCTCCCAGTGCCATCGCCCTAAGCATACCTTGGTGCTGCTGGTGAATTCGCACCAATTAGATGCTGCCTTTCAGGCGTGGGTGTGAAATGCTGGGACTTCCTTGTCCATCTTCCCACTTCTGTAGTGGAAGCCTTTTTCGAGGATGTAGTCCCTCTTGGTGCAGAATCGACCATTCCATGCAAAAAAAAGAGTAATGTAAATTAATTGTACACTCAAAATATCACACACTGCGTTACGTAGCGCGACGAGAGAAGTAGATATTCCTTGAAGGAAACTGATTCATCTCACGTATTGAGCGTTCGATCAAGAGAATGAACTCGTCTGCCCACTTCACAGTCTTCCCTCCCTTCTTGCAACCATTGACGAGGGCCTTGGTGAAGAAAGAGGAAAGGTCATCCGCTTGGCCTCCTTGAAGAGTCACTCTGAATTTTGATCGGTGACGGAATACCCCGGCACAAGAGGCCTCCTTTCCCCGCTTCAGCTTCCACGATGCCCTTGCACTCACTCTTGGATTCCAGAGATGCCATATCTGGAGCCGGGGGCACGAAGAAGCTCTGCACCCGCATACACAACTGAGACATGACTTGCAGGGATCTTCCACCAGAAATCCATATCCTGGGAAGCACAGCGTCAAGCATAGGATATCACTTTTCCCGCCTCCACGATATGTTCTCACTAAAAACATGGAGGAGAACACCACTAATGGTCCCCGTACAAAGACATCATCGGCCTTCTGCATGTGGTTGGACTTCGCCTCACCGTCAACACGAGCCGCAATTCTCCAAGTTTTCACTCCCATGGCACACGTACACAACACACGACCTCGCAACGAGGAGTTTCTCGAGGTTGGCCCATCCCTCTAAAGGAGGTGCAGTAAAACATCATCCGTTCTTTTAGGAAGACCCCACACAACAAGCAATAAAAGTAGGGCAAAGACCAACACCACAGGCATACACATACTCAATCACACAACAACACACAACAACGAAAAATAGGATCCCATGGTCCGATAAGCATGAAACAACAAAAAGAGATACAAAAATTTCCCATGTCCCTTTTATGGGGTGACTCTCTCAAAGGCAATTGCACGAGCGTCCTCCTCAATGACTGGCTGCGCCGACAAGAAATGTTCCGCGTCCTCCAAATCGCGGCGGAGCAGAGAGGCTCGCTTGGCGAGCGAATCTTGCTCAATCACTCGAAGAAGATGAGCGACGTTTCCCCGATGATACTTTTTCCCGTAAAACAGCCGGCACAAAGCTGAGGCCTCCTCGATGAGACACCGTGCATGATCACCCCTCCACTCAAACGGGTCTACGGGAAGAAGTCCATCCCCCAGCACACTCAATTTGACGTGTGATGCAGAGTCCCTAATCGCAGGTGTTGTCGCAGGAAGAATTCGCACACGAGAAAGTTTGTCGATGCTGCCCTCAAGCACATCTTGAATGGCCGGATGAAGTGCAACATCGTGGAGGTCTGTACGTCCTTTTCGACCTCTTCGAATAGCTCGCCACGTGACCACACCATTTGAGTGCCACATGTGAATAACAACTCCCGACCCCACCACAATCACGACATCACTCGAAGCAAACAATTTGTCAACAACACACCTGACGGGATGGGAGATGCCTGAATCCTCGTCAAAAAGAACGGCAACTCGGTTCGGGTCTTCCGCTATCAACAGCGGCGCAAATGGTGAGCCTTGCGCCGTTGTAATGATAGCCTCCGCCTCAGTTTCAAGTCCGTATGTCTTTCGAAGACTCCATGTCCCACTTCCATCACCACTCTCAAACGCATCAAAGGCCTCTGAGCCCCAACTTATATCGCCTCCAAAACGCAAGAACTCCGTGCGTAGGATTCTAAGAAGCCGACCCTCCTGGCAATGATACGCTGGCTCACCTTCGGAGCAGCCGGGAAACACTACACCTTCTTTTATTGTCTCAAGTTCAGGCGTAACGAAACGCCATCCTTTGGCTCTTTCAAGAATGCCCTCAATCTTGCTTACCGTGCATCCTAGGTCTTTCAGAAGCTTCACGGTGTGACTGGTGCAAACGCAACGCCTCTGATTGCCTAATTCATAACGAGGATCTACGCGCTTCTCGATAATATGGACGTTGGACTCACGCCAACGCATTCCGATTCCCATCGCATATGTCCCCACACTGCTACCAATAAGAAGGACCTTGCCCCATGGCTTCACTGCATACATAACTGTCCCTCGAGAAAGACAAGCGAGTTAGAAACAGGTGACCTTTTTTTTTTCATTGGGATATTTGCGCATAGCCTCTTCGAATAGCACGAAGAGAACATCGTCCGCGCCCAACGCAAGGAAGAACAACAGGCGGAAAATCAAAACAAAAAGACCCAAATGCGCAATCATCGCTTTATTTTTTGTACAACAACCAACGTATACTGTTTATCTACATCTGGAGCAATCAGTATGTCCGTCAACCCAACACTCAAACGGAGAAAGGTAAGGTCATCTTTCCAATCAATGGTACGGACCGTTGACGCGGCCAAATTCGTAAGCCCATCCATCTTTTCAGCATACGTCAGCATCTTTGAGTCATCGGAGGCGAAACCCGAGTGCTTCAGTATGCTTCCGTCAGCAGGGTTTAAAACAAGATATCCAATCACCCCTTCGTGAGCTGCGATGCGCAGAAGTATCTCCTCCACCGTCTTAATACGGTGCTCTCTTTCATGCGCTGATGTCGCAGAGAGTTCCATCACCTCAACTAACTACTCGACCCTTTAGCGAGAACAAAAAATAATTGAAGGACAAGCATAACAACAGGACAAAACAAAACCTGGGTGTTTGTAGTGGCGATGAACCAGAAAATGAGGTGAGGCCGCAAAAAGAAAGAGGTATCATTCACTTCACAAGGTGTGTGTGTGTGTGTGTGTGTGTGCGTGGGTGGGGACTGATACCATGGTTTACATAGATGGAACGAGGGTAAAGTTCCTGCCGGAGCTCTTTGCTCCTCTACATCTCGGACATCCCAGTCACTTTACAGTCTTCTTGGAGACAACGGCAAATGAGGGAAATGTGCGTTCCCGGAGACGATCGATTTCGCGTTTCAAGCGAACCAACTCTTCCTGTTGGCATCGCGCAAGTTCCTCCAACTCACTGTTCTCGTACAACTCCCTCATCCTCTCATGAAGTCGAGTCTCCTCATTGTTGTGCTCACCCAGCATACCCCAGACGACTTTTTTGTCGTCCACAATACTCCTCACCTGTCGAACCTGATTGTCTAAGAGTGTGTTTTCAATGTTTCGGTCATGAATCTGCATCTTTAGTCTTGTAATAACCCTGTTTCGTTCCTCTACCTTTTTAGACATAACACATCGGACATACTCCATTCGTCGGTTCAGTTTATCGACTTCGTCCTCGCGTGTGGCTCCGGCACCGGTGTGAATACTCTCCTGCATCTGTCTTGTGACCCGCAGGGTGTGCAGCTGACGAAGCTCCATCTCTAGCGTCCCCACACAATACTGCAAGCGTTCTGTCTCCCACGAGCAGAGCTTCATTGCCTGCCGTTGCTGCGATATTTTACCCATAAGCCGGCGAAGTTCATCAAAACTCGAAAAGATCAGGTCATTATACTTCAGGATGTCCTTCGCCCATCTGAAGGAGAAGTTGAGGAAGTCGGCATTCACCACAGCATCTTCGTCCTGCACCTGTCCTTGCCGCAAGCAATACAGGTTTTGTACATCAAGAATCCTTCGGGTAACACCCTGTCTGCAGGCTTCCTCTGCCGCTTCTTTTTGTTCCAGATTCTCATGGACCCTCACCACCTCTGCTTCTGCCTCGGCCAAGGCGTCAGAAAATGATGGAATCGTCGCCGCAATACGAGCAATGGTGTCTTTTGCTTTTACAATTGTTAAGCAACAATCGCAGAAGCGCTCCCAAAGCGCGACAGGAACGGTGTCAGGCTGTTCAACAACTGGAACTTTTGCAACACCTTCTTCGTACTTAGTGCGCCACCTAGTAAAACGTCTGTACAATCTATCCCCCCACTCATTGTCATTAAAAGGTGGGGAGGCTCGCATTTCGGCAGCAAGCGCTTTTTCTGCGTCAATAGACTGCTGTAATTTTGATTCTTCAGTCACCAGCAGCTTTCTCCTGTATGCTTCCAGACTCTGAAGGTGATTCAACCGGTTTTGTAACTCTATTTTTTCGCGTATGAGGCACAGAAGTTCAGTACGAATCGTTGACTGGAGAAGAAGTCGACGCAGTGCGTTTACCTGATGGGACTCCAGCTCATCCACTGACTGCGACACCTCCATACGCTGCTTCCTCAAGGCAGAAATCTCCTCATCTACTTTTCCTGCAGCGACTACGCTTGCCTTCAACAACCCCACCATCTCTTCGCGCAGTGCATCCTTTCGTTCATTGTAGTACGCCGTCTGCTCAGCAAGCTCCTTCTCGTACTCATCGTAGGCCTTCACTTGCTCCTCCGTCCGTTCATCAGGCACAACATACTGTTCAGACGTCTCGTCCGCGAATGCGGGGAGTGGGACCTTGACGGCAAGCACCTCAGCGTCCTTTTCAAGACCGTCCATCCACGTCTTGAGCGCCGCCTCATCGGAAGGAGAGATAACGTATGCTGCATCGTTTTCTTGCTTTGCCAGTTTCAGCAACTCTGGGTCAAGCTCTGAGTCAAAGACTTCAAAAACGGTTGTTGGGTCCTCCTCCTTGTCAAAGAGGGGTGTGAATAATACATCGGCCAACGTGAAGGACTCCCCAAGCTGCCGCATGATGCGTTTACAGCGATCATTTCGCTCTTCAATGCGGCGCAGCTCACGATTTTTTCTCTCGCGAAGACTGTCAAAGCGGGCATTGAATGCCACCTTCACCGCGGATATCCTCCCACCGAGCAAGACCATTTGAATGACTGCACGCGAGCTGGTGTACACGTCAAGGGCATCGTATAGCAACGTCAATGTATCATCGGCTATACTCATGTCCGACCGCGAGAACTGGGGAGCAGATGGGGTACGTTTTACTAGGGAGGAAAACGTAAAGGAGCTCCCATCTTTGATTTGCATCATCCTCATGAACCTCATCTTTTTTAGCAGGCTTTCTGCCTCTGGGTCTGCCTTCCGGCGATGAAAATTGTGAACCTCAAGCGAAGGAGTGTTCAAACTTACAATTTTTGACCGGGGAACCTCCATTGTGTCCCAGCATTCACGTCGGATAGTGTGCTGTGTGAACTCGTTAAGGAGCAGTTGATAATAGTCATCCTCCTTCGCTTGTTGTATCGCTGAATCGCAATCTGAGCGAAACACCTCTCGTTGATCTGGCAATAAAAAATCTTCCACATGGACGGCAGAGCTCCTTTCTATGAGCAACTTGTCAATCTCCAACCTTAGCTCAGCCAAGGCAGACATCACATTGGATCTGGACTGCTCAGCCACCACACCAACCTCGTCCACTGAAGAAGTAACAGCTCCCAAAGAACCTGAAAGATTCTCCTCACACCACATGGGTTCCGTCCAAGAGTACTGAACCGTGTCCCCGCTTGGTATCAGATGCACTACAGTATCACCCCCGCCACACACAAAACCACCACCATCATTCCAAACACACAAAGAGGTAACCCCTCCTTTCCCCATGGGCCTTACAGGGAACTCATACTGTGGTCGTCTTTTTTCCTTGGAGGGTGGAATAGGTGTAAGTTTTAGCAAATAATGAGAGACATCTCTCACAATTACCTTGCCGTCTCCACCACCGGATATTACACATGTGGCTCCAAAACGTTGAAGCACAGTACCACCGCTTTCATGGTCACGCATCAAAAACAAGGGTCGTAAAGGCTTTGCATCCCTTTCTCGACGGCGCTCCAATACGTACACCTTGGTGTCTTTGTCCAATGAATGAACCAGAATGTTTACCACGTCGTCGTCAAAGTAGAGTGGCAGAAGGTCATGAACAGGATAGTCAAGACGCCAAACGGTGTCTACAATCATGGTTGCAGGCTCCACACCATCACTGTCAAAGCAACGAAGGAGATGCACCTCACCATTACTACAGACTGCTAACACCGACCGCTCTTCACCAGTTATCCAACGAAGAACCATCACACTGGAAGTAAACGTATCCACAGACCCCTGTGGAAAAAGAGAGCCGTTTTCCACCGTGATAAGATGAATTACATTGCCGTCGCTAACAGTCACAAATGAGGCATCGTCGGATGTGCAAAGTGAAAGTGGCGCATCACCAAGCTTTGTGTGTGAGACAAGTGTCACGTCGGCATTCATAGTGAAACTGCGAGCACAACCACTCTGATACGCAACAACAAGATATGAACCAATCGTACATGCATCCAGAGCCTTGTCATTCAACTGCACAGCGAACCGCGTTACCGTGTTGTTCGTCCCGTCGTACCTTACCAAGGTGCCGTCTGAGCACACCAACACAACCAGACCTCCAAGAGTCAGGATTTTCACTGTATTACTGGTGCTTCGAACTCGAATGGGTGTGGGTTGCGTAGTACTCAAATCCAACTTGTTGATATCAACCTTGCTAACAATCACCACCTCACCGCCAGTCTCAGAGAGAAGTAATCGTTCCACGCGATACTTGACATCGAGCAAGAGCCTTAAGTCCTTCTCATTTCCGCCGTAGCCAAACAGCGCTCCATCCTCTGTCCCGATCAAAAGAAGGGTCTTGGTATGAAGTATGGAAGTCACGGCGGCCTTCGTTGGGCAGGTGAGATACTCCCGCACTTCCATTTTGAGTTCGTCAAAAAGGACAACCTTACCTTGGGCCGCACCGCAAAGCACGCCACACGCACCCCAGGAGAAGGAGTGCAACTCATGATCGGGTGAACCCAATGTGAGAATACTGGGGACAGATCCTGGCAACGACAAATGGCTAACAACAGCAACCTCGCGAGACTCAAGCACAGCCAGGCAGTCAGCACGCTGAGGCGAGAATACCAGACGCCTCCAAAACTTGTCGGTCAAGTCCACTGATGCACACTTCTCAAAAGATCGCCCTCGCTGAACCGAGAAGAGTGAAACACAGACGGACGGCATGCACGTCAAGACGGCCAGCACCTGACCATTCGGTGAAAACAGCATATCCTCTACATCTACTCTGGCAAAATTCTCCACTTTGTGCACACGATTGTACTCTGGGTAGCGGAAAGCATGGAGTGTCACATTTAGTCTCACCTCTGTCACACAGAGCAGACGCAAAGCGGGTGAATAGGCGAGCTTGCCGATAGGGTACTTTCCATCCCCGGGAACCCATTGAGCCGAATCACTGCCACGCCTAATGACGACGCCACCTCCCACACCACAAAGAACCTGGTTATTCGCGGCGCATACTGCCGAAGGTGAGTTGAACCCGAGTATAAACCCATTCGAGGCCATCATGCCAATTACTACGATCAATAATAACAACGGTAGGAATCCAAGAAGCAAAGAGAGAGAGAGAGAGAGAGAGAGAGAGAGAGAGAAAAGCAAGACGCAATTAGCCCATAAAGCATACGCGCCCACAAACCCACACATTGATACCACTGATGATGGGCAGTAAGCCACCGCCTCGGCTTCGCATCGCTTCCCCCTTTCAGCATACTTTCCGTTCCCCAACTGACCCACAAAAAGGTCAAGAAACACCAAGTCCACACTGTATTGCATGAATCCACATCTCCATTTTTTCATGGGATTCAGCCTGAAACCACATCGACTTGCCACCGATGGTGTTCAGCGCAAAAACAAATTCCCTCTTGGCTGTGCCAAGCGGCACTGGACAGGCACTCTGAACCTGCTCAAGGCTCAGTGCTTTTCCCTCCTGGTCGGACTCATTCTCTGACAAGATCAGGTGGCCGCGAACGACCTGCAAGTACCGATCTTTCCACGAGCGTCCACCACCGCCACCAAGTTTCTTCACGCAGCCCCGAAAGATCACATCGTGGTTTATTTTCCCCACCAAACCACTGTTGGACTCAGGCACTGGCTCAGAAGACAAAATCTCCGTCACGTGATTAATAAGAGACTCCTTCACACATTCAGCAATTCGCGTATTCTTCTTCACCGTTTGCATAAACAATTTAAGGCCCTCCTTTACATAGGGCATCTGAAAAACTTCCCGAACACTGGGTCTTTTATTCGCATCAACAACGAGAATGTTGCCAACGAGACTTCTGAAGTCTGTAGAAAATTTCTCAGGAAGTGGAGCAAAGTCACCGCTGAGGACCTTAGCCATCAAACCCTTCATACTGGTGGCTGTAAACGGTCTTTTGAGGGCCATAATTTCATATAGTAGAACCCCCAGCGACCATACATCCGCCTTTTTGCTGTATCTCTGATTGTTCCAGAGCTCAGGGGCCAAATAATACGGGGTACCACAGAAAGTATTCGCCACTACACCTGAAACAGTATCATCGTACTGACGACTGAAACCAAAATCACCCAGTTTGATCAGCCCCGTAGATGTAAGAAGGATGTTCGCCCCTTTGATATCGCGGTGCAACATTTTATGGCTGTGGATATGATCAAGGGCAAGACACAACTGCAAAAATAGGAATAGAGCCTCATGCTCTTGAAAGTGGCGAACGGTATCAGCCATGCGAGCCTTTATCTGCCTATCAAGGTCCCCAGAGTCGGCAAACTCCATAACAATAAGCAGCTGTTCATTCTCCTCGTGATCTTCAAGATATTGGATAATGTTGGGGTGATGACAGTTTGCCAAACACTTGATCTCGCTGTAGGCATACTGCTTGTCACGAAGTGACATCTTTTCCAGATTCATCACCTTTGCCACAAAGATGGCGTGGTCCTTCACACGCTCAACAAGCCATGCCTCACCATACGAGCCACTTCCTATAAGCTTCCTTTTGATGTATTTGAAGTCCCCACTTGCGCTGCTAACTCCCAGAATTGATGAAAACGTCTCCATTCACACCACCTCTCACTCTCAAAGGTACTACTACAACAACGGGAAGAAGAGAAACGAAAGAAGGGCGTAGCTTTACATCCACATCTGCACACCACCAAAAAGTATACACGAACGCAATTGAGTCGAGCAGGAGTCCAAACACCCCTACACCGCGGGCGGCGTGAAGAAGGAGCGCCATCGCCCAACCTGGCCTTCACAAAACGCCACGCCAAACATACACCAACCAAAAGGAACAACCCTCCCACCACAGAAAACGGCGCATCCTTTCGCAAGCCGCAGGCAAACTGGAAGAAGAGAGAAGATTTTAAACTGCCTCTTGTTATCGGGGGAAAGGGGCGCGGTGGCGAACCAACCGCCTCTGCCGGGCAGGGGCCGACCCCACGCCGCGACCCAAAACAAAAAAAACCACCCCCGGCGATTCCACAACTGAGGGCCGAAAACGCCTGGTCCTGCAGACCTCCCGGGGAAACCCTGCGCACTTCTCGGCGCGGCGCGGGGGGGGCCTCCCGCAATGAATTGTGCCGTTTTCTGCGTGCCAGCGGGCCGCTCTCCACACCGCGCATGGGGTGAGAAAAGGGTTTTTGTTTTTGGCGCGCGTCGTGCAACGCACGCCGCCAAGACAACGGAAGCCTCCCGCGCCAGAGGGCCTCTCTGCGGGAGGCGGTGTGGCCAGGACGTTCCCCCCGCCGCGATCGCATTCACGAAGGGCGCGCGGGTTCCGCGTGGGATGTCGTTGGCGACCCCCGCTTGCAACTGTTTTTTT